GCGCTGGGGGGAGCCTGCGGGGCGTCTCCTGGGAGGCGACGGGAATTGTAGGGTTAGGTCCGCTTTTCCCTAGGCTCTGTGTGGAGCTCGCTCCCATCTGTACTCCGACTGCCCTTCCCGAGAGAGTTGCCTTGAAAGAAGGAAAAAGTGCTAACGGCNCTGTGTGGAGCTCGCTCCCATCTGTACTCCGACTGCCCTTCCCGAGAGAGTTGCCTTGAAAGAAGGAAAAAGTGCTTTTGACATCTCTCAAAATTGGCGAACTTTGTTTTTGTTTTGGGGTGCAAACTGTTTGAAAAGGTGGCTCTCCGTTGAGGATCTGGGTAACTAGCGAATAAGCTGCTCGTTCAGCCCTCTGCGTGGACCTCCGTGGAGGCACCTGTGGCGGGCCAGCCTGTGGGGCCCTGCTGTACCTGCTCTGTTCCGAAGCTGTGGTTGTGAAATGATCTGGGTTGGTTTGACTGGCTTGGCTTGCAGTGGAAGTTATATGAGGTCAGGAGAGGTGATCCTAGGCAGTTGTTTTCAACCTTGGCAGCATCTTGGGTCCCTGAGGTCTTTAAGAAACATAGGTGCCTGCCCTCAACCCCCCTCCGTGTTAGGATGTAATTGGTTTGGGGTGTGGTCTGGGTATTCCAAGTTGTAAAAGCTCCACAGGTGATTCAAATGTGTAGCCAAGGTTGAAAACCACTGTGCTAAAGGGTTTTCCGTGTTTGGTTGGTCATGAGGTGAATCAAGGTCCATCCCTCTTGCCTTCTCTCCCACTGAGATTAGCTAGTTAGGATGATGATTAGGAGCCATTGGAATCAGCAGTTGCTTGTCAACTGCTTCACTCAAAGGGACCGATTGGCTGTATGTTGTGTCATCCTTGAATTCCTGCAATACTTACTCTTCTTTCCTTTTAGAGAGAGAGAGGAAAATATATATATATATTACTAAGTACAGGCATATCTAGCAGACATTGCAGGTTCGGTCCCAGACCACCACAATAAAGCCAGGACCACAATAAAGTGAGTCATAATCTTTTTGCTGGTGGAGGGTCTTGCTTTCAACTTGTAAAGAATGCAACACCTGTGAAGCACAATAAAGTGAAACACCAATAAAAGGAGGTATGCCTGGAGTTAAGAGCCTATTTCCAGATCTAAATAGCACCTGTGAAGATCAGACAGCGCCCAAGTATTTGCTGACTGCATGTTTACATACGGTCTGCTCTCGTGCATCTTTCTTAATGCAAATGGCACATTCCATGTAGTCGTAGATAGTAATATTGGCGTGGCAGGGAGAGGAAACTGAACTTTGAGCCAACTGTTTTTCTTATATCATTTCATCGTATTCTGTGTTCTGAAGGCATTGTGCCCATTTTACACATGAGGAAACTTAGGCAACGTGCCTTGTCCCACAGTACCTGCACCATATGCTCTTTCTTCTACAATTCACCTCTAAAAAAACTGATGTGGCCACACTGAGGAGTCCTGAAAGTGGTTGACTTTCTCTCTAGAGTCACTGTTACCAGAAGTTTCCCTTCTCTGGCTAGATGAGGACCCAGCCAAAATTAAGTTGTCTCTTCAATCTATGTGTGTATTGTCAACTTCACACATTCTCTTGGTCAGTTGTGTTTTGGTTTTGAAGGCTTCCTGATAGGTGATGACAACCCAAAGAATAGAAGTAAAGTAAGGATACATTGTTACAAGGGATTTAGTGGCTCATTTTTTCTTTATGTGTTAAAAACTTAGAGCAACATTTGTCTAGATAGTTAAAAACTGAGTGGCAAATTTTCTGACTGACCCAACACTAGATTAGGAGCCCTGTGGAAAGATCAAGGCAGTTCCTATGGATTAAGCACCTGTATGCCCTTGGGATACTGTGCCTGGTATGGTCTCAGGATTTTAATATCTTTCTGCAAAGTAATTTTAACAGTGCATTTGCTATATGAAATTAGTGTATTCCAAAGATGAACATCATCATAGGGGAGATGGTCAAGATGACCATTATGCACATTAATGAATGAGAACACATATTGTATACTGAGTTTGTCATTGCCCAGGTGGTACACAGTCGACTGAGTCTAATTCTCAAACTGTAGTTTCAACTGTACATGGAAGGTTGACACATTTTCTTCCCATCAGTCATTTATTCACCAATTTTTGGAGGATGGGACCCATAGAGTCCACATCACATGACCATATGATAAATAATGATGTAACAAATATTTGCACAACAGAAATGTTTTCGTAGTCTAGCCAATTGCCCACTTGTTTCAAGCAGTATTCAGTTACTGCAAAAGAAGAAAACTGTGCACTTCTTTTGTCATGGTGGCATTCTCTCTGACAATGGATCTTTGTCTAAGTCTTGAATTTTCCAGCAATTAGTGGAATGCCCTGTTGCAAGAGAGTTTTAAAGAAAGAACCATCAATGCTTCATATCAATCACTGGAGAATTTAAATAGTTTCAACTTTTAATTAAAATAGTATGCTCCAGCGTCTAGATTTATCACATAGAAGAACTTACCGTTTTCATTTGCGTCAGTAAAAATAGGTCTGTAGTGTTGCCTGTGTTGTCAAAATTGACTGTTTCATCTTGGTTCATCTTTTTAAATGAAGATTCTCTGATAGAATTTTTTATACCATTATGTTTGACTGTCTTCTCCTCTGCCTCTTCTATCCCATGAAGTTTGTAGTTACATTGTTGACATTGTTTTCCCTAAAATGTTTTTTATTGAAGAATAGACAAAGTGATGACGCAAGGCTGCCCTCGGCATGTACACTCATTCAGGATCCCAACCCCATTGAACTCCGATAACAAAAGAAATTTGCATGGCCCAGATTTTTTTTTTTTTTCCTGCCCTTGACTTTGAGAGTCTCTGGCAACTAAAAACAATGTTCAGGTGTTGGCTGGCATGGCTCCTGCCCTGCACTAGGCCAGCAGGCATCTTCAGCTTGGTTTACTCACCTTGCTGGATTAATTTCACTGGTTGGTGCTGGCTCTCCCGGTAATCCTGTTTATTCTTTAAAACTGAATGGGGACCTTCTCTTGGAGGAGGACTGTTCGTCATAACCATCAGTATTGGGATACTCAGGTTGAGCTGTGTGGAGCCCTGAGCCAGCCAAGTCTGTATCATCTCTGATACATAACTGAGGATGTCCCCATGACTCACTCTTAAGTCCTCATGTTCGGGGCTAAGAGTCAGAACGCCTAGTCTTAGTTTTGTTCCATGAGTGTTCTCCTCTACTGAGCATTTTGGCTGTGTTTATAGAATGCTGACGTCCTAAAGAGAGATGGTCAAAGGTAGTGGAAGTGATGACTGACCAAGTCAGGATCCCTGGGTTCTACTGACTCATGGATTTGAGAAAAACTCACCTTAGTTCTCTGGGCCTCAGTGTCCTTTTCCATTGAACAAAAGGTTGAAAGATTGGCAGATCCCCTCTCTAAGTCAGATCTCTTCAGGTCTGAAAGGACATGCCCTTTCTCTACCAGGGTGGCTGTTTATTGAGTGTATGAGGCCTGGGCTGCATTTCTCTACCCAGAACCTTCCAGAAAACTGACAAGGCTGCAGATGCCCTCCTCCCAAGCAGGGAGTGGGCGTGGGGCTCTGGTGAAGTCCAGTCTCTGCCTCTCTCATTCCAAAGTAAAATGTCATTAGGTGTTATCTCTGCCTGTTACCCCACAGTCAACAGTAAATGAGCTGATTGAATTTTTTGGCATGTGAAAGAATTTTTATGATTTTTAAAAAAATAATTCTTATCCAAGGATATGATTTTAGAGAGAGTGGAAGGGATGGAGAGAGAGAGAAACATTAATGTGAGAGAGAAATATTGATTGGTTGCCTCCTATGTGCACCCCAACCTGAAATTGAACCTGCAACCTAGGTTTGTACCCTGACTGGGAACTGAATGCTCAACCTTTTTTATTTTATTTTTTAATTTTTATTTATTTTTTTTTATATATCTTTATTGTTTTCAGAGAGAGGAAAGGAGAGGGAGAGAGAGAGATAGAAACATCAATGATGAGAGAGTCATTGATCAAGCCTGCAACTGGACATGTGCCCTGACCGGGAATTGAACCCCGATCGCCTGGATCCTAGGTCTAGGCTCAACCGCTGAGCCATGGCCGGCCGGGCGAATGCTCAACCTTTTGATGTAGGGCATGATGCTTCAATCAGCTGAGCCACCCAGCCAGGGCAATTTTTATGACTTTGACAAATGATACTTCCATCCTTCAAGCTAACTTGAAAATTCACATGAATTAATTTGAATTTAAGAAAAATAAAGTTATAAAGAAATTAAGCACTTCAAGTTTCTGAGATTCTCTTACTAGTTTATTGAATCTGTTGGGTTTGGTCAATCTCTTTGAAGGTGTTAAACTAAAATACAGTTACTGAGAGAGTTTAAGTAAAAATGAGTCTCTGTAAGAACCCATATTATAGTTTTTTCCCCACTTGAAAGGTAGATTTTTATAGTAATAACAGACACTGAACTCTTGGAACTTGTGATTGGACTAGGTTTCTTTCTTCACTCTGAGTTATAAGATATTTGCAAATATAAGTCAAAAGCTGAGTGCATTAAAGGCACATTTGATGACTGGACATGATAGTTTAACATTGAATCTTTGGTCTGCAAAGCCTTCTCTACCTGACAGACTTCTAGATTCTTCAGGACCTGCTTCACATATTGCCTCTCTGTGAAGTCTCTTCCCACCCCTCAGGTATGTTGGTCTCAAATAGTTGTTGATCGAGAGCATAGTTGTTGTTGTCTAAGGTGCTGGG